AGTTAGTCTATCTACGAAAACGATGATTGCTTTCAGAAGGTAAAAAACAAGGAAAAAAAGTAAGTCTGTTTGTGCATGTGATAGTTCATGGTTGTGAAAACATGTTTTATTATTTTTTATTATCTTCGGTAGTACAACACGAAAAATCTTTTTTTCATTTACATATCTTTTGATAACGATAAAATCATCTCTTGTGCGAGAACACCATAGGACGATTTAAATTTCGATTGTTCTCTAAATACATAATTATCTATAACATCCGCTATCGCTTTTTGGCTAGTATTATAGTTCAGATCAAATGAATAAAATGCAGCAATAAATATCGCCATTATTTCTCGAATTGGATAACTTGTTACATCGAATACAATTTTATCGGAGTAAACAAGGTAAAATTTCCATATATTATCATTTTGGAAATACACTACATTAAATGTTAATGGTAATTTTGCAATAGTTGCGTTGAACCAGACATCAAATGTTTTTGTGGAATCATTGGGTTTCTAGATTGAGAAACATTCATTTGATTAATCTTATCAAAGACACTTCCATAAATTATCCTTTCGTAATTCGTATGCCCTTGCTTAGCATTCTTTTTCAATCAAGCTCTCTGAGATAGTTATTGAAAAAATGATAAACATTAGAAATGAGGTCCACTATCAGGATTTTTTTCTCTCAGTCTTGTAGGCTATTATTCGGATATCTTCCTTCCAGAAAAAGGTTAAGTTTCCAGGAGCCTTTGTTTAGAAATGCTCACATCTGAACTTACTAACTCTTACTGGCGCATAGTTTTACCTTTAGTTCAACAAATATCGATGAACATCTGCGTCTTGATTTGCTTAACAAGCTTAACAATTCAATTTCAATATAACTCTAATTGAAACAACAAAAAGAAGGTAAATACATGAGAACATCTGAGATGGAATAACGATTACTTTGTTAGGATCAACAGCTGGAAATAATTGTTTCAATTTATGCACTAACACCATTAAGTTTACCGATGCTTGAGCAACCGAGATATGTGTTCGATTTTCAAAATCAATCATCACCTAAATATAAATAGACATATCCAACAATAGAAAGTCCCCATTCCCTAGTGAGAAACTTACTCGAATCTTACTAAGATCTTAGAAAAATCTTATTAAGATCTTAGTAAGATTTCGCTTACATTTGTCTAAGATCTTAGACAAATCTTACTAAGATCGTGGGACCCGAAAAATCTAAGATTTGATAAGATTTTTCTAAGATCTTACTAAGATTATACTGTCTAAGATTTTTTCAAGCTTGGATAAGAATTTGTTAGGATCTTAATAGTAAGAACGATGATGTTTTTTAAATAGTATTCATTCGAGATTCGCTAGAATTTTTGAATTTTTATCCAAAGCAGCAGTTGAACAGTGTTGAAGAATAAAGAGAAATTTCATATTTTCGGGTGTCCAACTATGGACCTTGACCTGTTTGTACACTCTCTAAAAAGTTGTTGAACACTTTCGAGAGAGCAAGTACTAGCAGAGTCTGGAAGAAAAATAACCGTAAAATCACTGATATTATTGCTGTTACTTATATAGATGAATGAGAGCAAAACAAAAGGGTGAATGGAAGTAGAGTCATTAAATCTTATTAAGATCTTAAATAAGATCTTAGATTATCTTATCAAAATCTTAAAGGATAAGATCTTATAAGATCTTAAGTTAAAAATTTTTTGAACTTTTTCTCTTCGTATTTTATTAATAAAATAATAAAATTAACTAGACGTTTCAATATGTTAACATATCATCCTCAGTAGTTAAAAAACGAAAAATTTAATAGATTCACAATCTAAAATTATAACAAATTTTCTCGAAAATTTTTTGAAAATGTTAACATGATTTTAATAATGATAGAATAGGAGTTGATAAACATCATACATAAGATTTATCTATGCTTAGGATAGTTAATACGGCGGATCAGGTGGAGAATGCTAATATAGAAGTATAAATCTTATGTATGATGTTTATCAACTCCTATTCTATCATTATTAAAATCATGTTAACATTTTCAAAAAATTTTCGAGAAAATTTGTTATAATTTTAGATTGTGAATCTATTAAATTTTTCGTTTTTTAATTACTGAGGATGATATGTTAACATATCGAAACGTCTAGTTAATTTTATTATTTTATTAATAAAATACGAAGAGAAAAAGTTCAAAAAGGTTTTTAACTTAATTATTAACTTCGTAAACAATTATAGCA